AACAGTAGTCAGATGTCGGGCCTGACAACGGTGGAAATAGTTGAGTTGCATGACTACCTTTGCGTGTGAAAGTTATCGCGCGGGGCCGGATGTCTGTTCCTCCGAATGGTATGTGGCTATTGTAGCCAGGGTGACTTTTTGTTATAAAACCCCCCTTTTTCTTTCTTGTCCATGGTTCCTGTACCATGACTACATGTGCACCGGCATCCCATGCCTGCTGCAATGCTATATCCGTGTTTTCCCCACCTCTTCCGACATTCACTTGGTGAAAGTGGATGGTGTTGTACTTGCCTTTTGGTGCTTTTGTTGAGGGGTTTCCTAACATTAACACGACATTGTTGAGTCCTGGGCAATGACGGTTTCAACTGCCTTACCCTTCCTTTCAGAGTACGCTAGAGCAGCATGATAATCACAATGTCCGCGTTCTCTGATGATGTGAAGTTCTGCCGGGGTGCGGGGCAGAATTATCCCGTTTTGTCATCTTGGCCGGGCCATACAGCTGCCCTCATTTGAGTGGTGAGGTCCCGCGCAATTTGAGCACTTTGACACCTTTGCCTGGCACTCTGATGTCTCATGGGTTCCCCCACGTCTCCCACATTGTTGGCTCCGAGTACAGGAACGCGTTGTGTGGAATCCCCAGCAACGTTGGCATTGCTCGATTGGTCTTTGGCGCGAGAAGGGAATTGCTGGTCCGCTCTCTTCAAAGAGACGAAACTTTTTGTTTGCTGGTTTTTGTTGGAAATGAATAATCCAGCTTGTTGAGTATTGCCCAAGCTTTGTTTCTGTGGGCCTTACCTGGATTGGTGTGGCGCCGCATACAGCCCGGCACTCGTTCTTCACCATATTGTTGGTGACTGGGATGCTGCCTTCAAGCGTCCTGATGTACAATGGCACATGAGGTACGATCAATGATGTCCATTTGGACGCTTCCTCAATCACGGTGTTGTCTTCCTGTAGGGAAGATGCAATCCTCATGATTGTATCTCTCAATGCATCTGATGCGCATTCGAGAGCGATCCCCGACCTGACTGGGTACATGGAGGTGATAGCTGAGGCTGCTATCCCAGCCTTGTCGGTTATTATTTTCTTGATTGTAACTGGCGAGAGCTTGTGCCAGTGGTGATCTCTCCCCAATCGAAGGAACAGGCATTTGTCCTCCTTTTGGGTTGTCTGTGGTTTCGGGTGGCTTGATGGAGCAGGCCTTCGCGGAACTTGCACATTTGGTGGTGTCGGTAACTTGGCCGCTTTACGGGCTACTGTCACCCAGGGCGAGCTGATGTCTTGAGGCTTTGGGGGTAGAGCGTGGCTGTGATCCTCGACAGCTGTATTTTTCCTAGGCGCGACTGGTTTTGGAGTGCTTGCCATGGTGGGGGGCTTCTTACTTGGAAAGTTAGATGCTTCTACCTGATCTACTGCGAAGGCAGTGATAACAGGCGTGATGTCAGGCTCGTTGGCTAGTTCGGAGGTCAAGGGTCGGAACAGGACGGATGTAGTCGGGACAGGATGTGATCGGAACGGGACGAGGGCGAGACAAGACGGAGACGGAACGGGATGGAGGCGGAACGGGACAGAGTCAGGTTATAAGGTGAAGCTTATAATAATCGGATCAATCTAAAGTCTAGAATAATTACAAGACAAAAAGCTACAGAACAAATCCAGTCCTAGACCTTCCTTAAGTACTCAAGAGCGGCTACTACAATCAGGGGTATGGTAGTCTACAGCTATAACACAGCAACTGATTGCTTATGTTGATTAGTAACTGTTGCTATCATAACATTGTAACCATCGCAACGCATTGACTATGTTACTAGGGAAGTTCCTGACTTGGTTGACAAGACTAAGCGCAGCATCTCAGCATTAGCCCATGGCACAATGGTAGTGACAAGCAGGCTGTTTTCCTCGTGGGAAAGCCGGTCTGTGACACGTGATGTTTTCCAGCAGAGTCGCGACAACTGCTGCTGCTTGTTTCTCTCCTTTGCTCTTAGCCCAGGAGTCGATTAGTTCTAGAAATTCCTAGGCTATATCCAGCCTTTCTTTCCGTTGTTGTTCTGCTTTGTGCATTGTATTCACAATGCCAAGCAGGATTGGGTGAAGATGCCCTCCTGGATTGGAGGGCGTTGTCAATGACGATGCAACAGCTGGGGCCATTGCACCGATTGAAGATTCTTGTAAATAAGGGTAATGGGTGATGCAATGTGTTAGGTGTCAATAATGATCTACTACTCGGACCTACATGGATTTCTTCTAAATTTGATTTTAGTTTTTGATTTTAGTATTGCTCTTAACACCATTATTTATGTGGAAGTTCACGCGGTTGGAATGAGTTGGGCCTGTATACAGTGATCCTTACCGGCTCCACCGGTCCTGTACCAATAGTAGGATGTAGAGCTTTTTACTTTAGCTCAGGACTTTAAAAATACAACAACAACAACACAAAACATATCACCTACTAAGTAGCAGTTGTGTTTGGATCCCTCTTATTGGTCTGAAGTGTAGGCCCTCATGCACGGGTGTTCATTGCACTAGTGCTTTGGAATCTACATAGTGTCACTCTCACTAGATAGCTTAGATAGAGAGAATAGAAATAAGAACAACTAACCCCTCTGAAATTCATGTCCTATTGTGCTAGCACATTTAATATCCGTGATATACCAACAGAAGTGTTCGAAGAGTCGGCCCTAATGGTGGTGCGACTGTCGCAGGGATGGTTAGTGCCTTTGGGGCTTCGACTACCTCACACAGTCGTTCCGGCCATCTTTTAAGCCCTTCAGTTTTCTTACTAATGTCTAAAGTGAGACCCTAATCATCAGTCGTTCCGACTGTTCGTATTGGCGCCATTGAGGGTTTTTCGTTCCACATTTCTACCGTTTGTTATAAAAGCTCCATTCGAGCCTTTTCTACACTTCCCTTGTAGACCTGGTAGGTTCGACACGCTGCTTTCTGCCACGAACGGTGTTCCTTGCCGCAGTTTTCAAAAGAAACCCTTTTCCTCGGACAGTCCCGAGTTAATGAGCGCCAGCGCACTCACCGCACCTAGCTGTATTTCCACACGACGCCTGTGTGTTTTCAGGGAATACATCTAGTTCAAGACCATCTCCTGATAGATACTAGTCTCAGCGTAAAGCACATGTTTTGGTGGGCCGCGAAATTGGTTGATTATCGCATAGGTTGAGTTCAGGATTTATCTCATATAACCTTGAGTTGTCGTAAGAGTTTGGAGGGAGCTCCGGTTCAGTTTTACCTAGAGTGTAACTGGTCACCTTACTGCTGAGATTTGGCACACGATGTTCTTGCATCATAATTACCTGTTGGAGACTACTTACTTCTTCGAGCTACCTGTATATCATAACTCCTACCCGGTGATATTATCTATCTGAGAAGTTTCCCTTACATGTGTTCCCAATGACTGCAGTTTAAACACTGCTTTGACTGGGCTCGTAGTGACCACACTTGCACTATGAAGAGCATGGCGTTGATAACAAGGCCGTTTCGGATCACTCCCATTTGTGTTGCCTCCGATGATAGGCTGACCACAATTAATCCTCAATTACGACAATTTTACTTCGACAGCTGATGCTCCTTTTCATCATGTAAACACCTTATTCGATTTATCGTAAGGCCAAGAATTCAAGCCATAGTCGCTATCTCAATCTCCCTGATGATAGCATAATTTTCAGAATCTCTACCAACTCCAGTTCAAGTCCGCAAAGGAACACCAGAAACCTCGACTGGAAATTCTTGCCGTAGAATCTTAAATTCGCTTGGTTAACGCATATTAAGTGTCGCAGCTCTCTGGGATGTTGACTGGACGAGCACCTCAGTATCGTTGCTGCGCATCTGTCGAATTACGTATTCACCTTGAATATGCTCTTTTTCCTTTTGAAAGCAACTCTTCCGGCTGAAATATATCCGCTCCATTAATTTTAATACGTACCGCCGTTTTAGTCACTTGCGGAGCTACAACTAACGCGTAGGTCCTTTGTGGCTGCCTCCTCGACGCCACAACAGTAGCAGCTTGTCGTGCGGAGTCCGCGAGGCTTTTCTTGACGACTTCCTCTAGTGCTTTCATCCTCTCCTCGATTGAAGACTTCTTCTGGGATATTTCTGTCCAGGTCCTTTTGTACGCGGTGAAAGCCTTCACGGCCTCGTTCACATCCTCCATTGATTGTAAGTCCTGCTCACCCATCTCGCCCGTAACGATTATTCTAGTCTGTTTTAACAGTTTCCCTTGGATATCAAGGTTCTTGTCTTTTGGAGCTGTCTGCGCTCCGCTGCCGTTGTTTGTGGTCTCCATTGTCGCTTTTTGCGACGCGTCAACACCGCTGGATTTACCCACACCAGCACCCACACTTGCAATTTTGGAGCACGGAAAGTAAGATGTGAGATATAGGCTAAAGAAGCCATATAAATGGGACTCACGATGTCGAATTGATGATGAAGGCGGCGTGGAGCGCTGCGCAGCTTTCTGGCAAAAATGGTATTCAACAGCGACCATATAGGATTCTTTATACTATATAATTATTAATTTTACAATAACATAAATAGATAATAATATTAATGATACACAAGATTCTAGACTACAATGATAAATTTGTTCATCGTCATGCTAATCAAGAGTATTATGTGGGTCCTGGCTAGCGCATCCGTGAAAAGCTCATCATGTGATCTAAAATTGATGACGTATATACTTTTACGATCTATATGAACCGGCAGAAGCCTTTCAAGTTGTCAGCCGATACCCGGAGGAGAAATTGATAGTTCGGAGCAAGGAGGGTAGGGAGATAGATTTTACGCGTTCGCTAGCTACGTAACTGAATAAAATAAGAATCGGAAATAGATAAAAACTAAATATGCTATCGGAATATAGTTTTACCGACATTATAGAGGGATTCCACCTAAGATATTCTCGGGCACATTAGCCATTATCATGAAGACGCCAACAACATCTGCCGCAGCAATCGCACTTCCTACCAACATTGTTTTTGCGCTACGAATCGGAAATGTTTTTTTACGCATGCCGAGCTCGAGCCATTTGGGCGCCGGTACGCAGTGTCCGATCTAATCCAGTACTGGTCTCGCGACGTATGCTGCGCGCTGCGCCCCAGGCAGGCGCGGGACCATTGATGGAGCGCAGAGCAGATCGAGAGCTTCCAGGTACGACATCTCCAACGCACCTGCAGTAGTCTCTCTCTCAGTTAGACCGATTCTGCTTGCTAACAATACCTTTCAGAGCTTGAACAAGTAGGCCGGCGCTGGCTTAGCAGCGGTGCCATATTTGTCGCCCTTGTAGCTGCTTCTGGACTTGCTCTCTTCAACTATCAGAAGAGCTCCTCATCGGTCGTCGCTTCGACCCTCTTTGCTCTCCGTACTTCTGCCACAGCGCGTGCCGCTCTCGGCGATGAAATCTACTTTGCCCACTATATGCCTTGGATCTGGGGCGAGATCAATCAATTACACGGCCGTATTAATATCCACTTCTCAGTGAAGGGAACCAAGAACTACGCTACAGTACGTTTCAAGAGTATGAGGCCAACTCGCCAGGGCGTCTTTGAAACCATAGAGTGGAGCCTTGAGATGCCGACCGGTGAAAAACTTGATTTACTCAAAGCCAGCCACGAGCCTCCTATAATCGTCGACCAGCACAATCTTGCTGCTCGTGTGGTGAATAAGGCTGCATAATCAGATCGCATGTTACGTCTCGAACCTTTCATACTACTAAGGTATCAATCAAGCTCAGCCAAGATAGAGAGGCTGACGCGAGAGAATGAAAAGCTTAGCCTCAACTGGACTGAATTAGAACTTATTTACTATATATTATTCAATTGTCCTATGCCAGCTACATGCTCCCACACAAAGACGACAGGAATTTTCTCCACAAGTTGCCAGAGATTACCGGGAATATTATAGAGTAACATTGATGTTTGGTAACCATCGAACTTATTCTTCCACATAGCTGATGTTGGCTCATTAACTTTTATCGAGAAGCCGATGGTATGCATGAATACCAGCTAAACCGTTGCGGTAGACTCGCTTGATGCGGTCGTATTTGGCGGAAAGGTTGGCCATGACTTCTTAATAGCGTCTTGAATTTGTACGAGGGAGCCCTTGGGGCCGGCGATGCATCCATTTAGAACTAAAATCCCTTTCTCTATATCTGTCTTAAGTACCTTGACATTTTGAATCGTAACTTGATTTCCGCCCATACGCCCAGCCATCCGCTTTCCTGGCAATACACGCGACCCACCGCCCTGCGAAGCGCCTGCCGATCCCATTGCTCGATGAGTTTTGGAGTTTCCGTGCGAAGCGGGCTGGCCCTTGAAATTGTGACGCTTCATGCCGCCGGCAAACCCCATACCTCGCGAGGCGCTACGCGTATCGACAAACTGACCTTCTTTAAACCAGTCTGGCGCCAGCATGTGACCAATATCTGGGAGTCCCGTTGCATCGCGAACCCGAAATTCAACTAGATGACGCTTAGGGCTGACAGCCTGATGTGCAAAGTAGCCAAGTAGGGGCCGAGTGACGTTGTCAGCCGGCTTCCAGCCACTGCCGACCTGTACGGCATAGTATCCATGCTGCTCGCGCGTCTTGTGTGCAACTACCTGGACCCGATCCATCTGCAACACAGTGCAGGCTGTTCGTCGACCTGTTTCGGGATTGTAGAGAGCTGTCATGCCCTTTTTGATTGCGAGAACACCGCTGCGACGCGGGAGAGAATGGTCGAGGCGAGCAAGTGCTGCATCTGGCGACTGTGTAAGCTGAGGAAGGCCACTTCCGAGGTTATAGTTGAGAGGTTTGGCACCGCGCTTGGGCCCCGTATACCATCCGGCCTTGACACCACGCCAGATAATACGTGGGCAAAGGAGGACTCTATCAGCGGAAAGTGTAGCTGTGGCGGCTCTAGCAGTGCCACCACTGCTAGTAATTAGTGGCCTGCACGCCGATAAATTAAGAAGTGATAGTGACATGAGCCACGTATATATCGTTTAAATGAGAGGATGTCACAGCAGAGAATGTTCTGTCGCAAATAGGCGTATTGTAACTTGCCGTGGGGCAATTCCACAGGATATGGAGAGAGTAGGAAGCGATGTATATTAGTCACGTGTCAGTGTCTGCTTCCGCAGATTGGCCGTCGTACCCAATATTACCAGTCATCTTCGCTAAATCAATATTCTCAACATGGTCTATTACTTTACCTCGATCCTTACTACGCCGCCTGCCCGTATTTATGCAGGCAAAGATAAATTTGAGAGTAGGATAACACCTGCGGCCCGCCCGACACTCGCGGCTCGACTAACCGCGCTATGTCGCAGATGAGGAGTTAATCAAGTTTGGCCTCGAGGATGATGTCTGGTTCCATGTGGAAAATCTATCCAGCGCCCACATCTACCTCAGACTGTCTGAAGACCAGTCCTGGAATGACCTTCCCGAGGATCTTCTCATTGACTGTGCACAGTTGACGAAGGCGAACTCTATCGAAGGTGTGTCTGCTATTCCACGCGAAATCCCCAACCAACTCGACAACTTTTAGGGAACAAAAAGTCAGACGTATCCATTATATACACGCCCTGGACCAACCTTAAAAAAGATGGATCCATGGTGGCAGGTCAAGTAGGCTTCAAAGACAGCAGTCAAGCAAGTAGGATCAGCCTCTAGAAAGAGATAGTTGAAGCTAATAATAGGCATAGGTCAAGCGAATCCTAATTTCGCGACGAGAAAATTCCATAGTTAATCGCCTCAACAAGACAAGAGAGGAAAAGTTTCCTGACCTGCACATGGAAAAGGAGAGTATCCTTCAAGGCAAGCGAAAGAAAGAGCAGGCCGCACGAAACGAAGAGGTAGGCAGCCCTTATAACGATGGACCACCCTAAAAGTTACTCACCGTGACGTAGAGGAAAGAAGCGGCTCGAATGGCCCAAAAACACAAGGAACTGAAATGGCAAAAAGATCATGCATACGACGAGCTTTTTGAAGACCCAAGCCTCGGAGTAGCTAACAACCAGGATCGTGAGGACTTGGAAGATGACTTTATGTGAAGCCCATACACGAAGAATTGGAAAATATGATTTGAAAATAACCGTCTCGTGATGTAAATTTCCATATTTCTGCCCCTTAATCAGGTAGTACTACATGATGTATCATCTTCATATTCATTTGCCCATTCTTTATGCCTTCATATTCGGAGCATATGATTAAAGACCTAGCAGTCATGCCATCTTATCATAGTTCGATAAGCTAATGGCGACCACCAAGACTGCTTCCCATCTGGTTGATAGTCGTGCCCTTGATAGAATGGTCGCGTGGGTTAGCAGCAGCCTCGTATGTAATATTTTGAGGCGCGCGACCAATCGGCATCCAGTCGCCCTTGAATGCCAAGTAGCTGAAAGCAGTGATGTCATTGCCATAGTTATCTTCAATGAAGAGGCTGAGGCAGTGCAGGGTTGCAAAACGTGCGCGTTGTACCGCAACCTCTTGAACCTCATCAGTCTGTGCTAGCACGATTGTCTGGCTCGGCGGACGCTCGAGAGCTGTGGCGAAGTCAATGTCTGTCGCATTAGCCCATAGTTTTAGAGTGCGCGGTGCCGCACTACTCGGCGACGTACGTACGACAATAGCGTGCAGACGTATTTGCGCCGTGAACCTGTGGCCCACGTCAGCGTCGCTGTGTTCAACTGCCGCTCCACGGCATGACCCACGGAATAAAGAGAAGCAACTGCTCGTCTGCGTCGCTTTGAAGTTGTGGCTCCGGCTCGAGTCGCTCCGCCCACGTTTTCTTCATGATTGTGCGGCCTGAATGAGTTTCAGCCTCGTTAAGGCATGTCACTTTGTCGAAGTTGATGTGTTGATAGAGGGAATACTGGAGAGCTGGAGTCAAATCTTCGGTATGACCATGATCGGAGTGATTATGACCGTGTTTTGAATGTTCATCATGACAGTGGGTGGACATTGTACCGGGCGTAATGTGAACACAATGTAAATGTAGGGGAAATAGACAGTAAGACATGTAGGCCAAGCTTGTTAATCCTATATTAAGCTAGGCCTGCCAAGACCGGTTCTTGCGCGTCTACATGTTACGGGGTGGGTTGCTTATCAGCGTTGTGATCGATCACTAAATTAAAATTTAAAGCAAACGCAGTCTCTACCTGTGGCTACAGCTATAAGTGTTTGGAACAGATAGTGCAGTGGTTCACATTCTAGGTTATTCCTGAGTAATTTGAAATACGCGGCCAACTAGCCTGTAGAGTATTGCTAAATACTGATTTGGTCTAACCAAGATCTGCTCAATATCTGTGTTGCGTCGTATCAAGTTTAATAATGTTTTTCTCAGAAAATAATTTAATCTGAAAGTTCCATTGTGGATGCCCGGTGATGGGTGTTAGACGTTTTATATTTAAACATATCCCAAAGTAGTAGTTAAATATGAAGTCAAATATATAATCATATCTGAGGTCAATCGTATCTTAAAAACGTGAAATGCTAACTTTTTTTAAAGGCTTCAAGATTGAATATATAGGAAGCAGGTACTTAAAATTCCAGCTACTATCGCCATTATTGCCAAAGATCTATATCTCAAAATCCCGCAACGCGCTGCTTCTTTATTTTCTTTTGTTTATAAACAGCTCTACTTCCAAAAATACCCCTATCAGGCTGAGTCATAGGCACTTCATCAACTTGTGAGCTAAGGAGTGCGGAATTGACATCTTTACCCTGTCTCAAAGTTTGATGAAAAGAAAACTCTATACTACTATCATGAGTACTTTGCTGGCTCATATATTTTTTGGGTGCGTGTGATCGCTGTGTCTGTCCTAAAGAATATGGCTGATCCTTAGTGTCAATCTTATCGTCACAGACAGTCTCTATCAGTGATTTTCTATTGGTATCATAAGAGTACAGAGCGGGGTTGAGCCCGGGCGTCGCAGGCCAGTCAGCTAAAATATTGGGCACGCTACTTCTCGATTGGACTGTTATTGACACGGCGTAACGGCGGAGGCGGGTTTCTGCAGATTCCTCCTGTACTTCAACCGTCGGAGATTCGGATGAGGTTGTTGCCTCTCTAAAAATCAATTGTGAGACTTCGCTGGACTGAATTCCTTCTGGGTCTGCTCTTGTTTTTTGAAGAAATACTCTCAGAGAGCTTAATGCTAAGTCGAGGGCCAGTTGACGGACAATTCTAAATCTTGCACCACGGAAATTTTTTGGAACCCAATTTGGCAAAGTAGAAAGCCATTGTTCCAGTAGATGATCAAACATTTCGGTGACATCTAGTGCGTTTCTCAGATCGAATGAAGGGCTGGAACTGGCGAAATTAGAGATACAATCAACGTTCAAGGCCAAAGTATGATTATCTAAATGTTGTGAATATTCAAATATATGGCCTAGGAAATTCTTAAGCGATTTTGCCGCGTCGATTAAATCCTCGGGGGCCTCTCTAAGTTCGCACATTTCGTATCTGCGGCTTCTCAGCTATGTTACAGCATTCCTTTGTGTGAGTTTACACTAAACTTGAAGCAAAATGATTACCATGGAGCCCTTCTTGAATGCGCTGGAAAGCCGAAGCAAGGAATTTACTAATACTGCTGCTTAAATGATCATCTTTATTACAAGGAGGATTTGGTTGGACGATGTTGTCTTCGAGGAATATATGCTTAAAAAATTTACTCCAGTCCAGTCTTTGGCATAAGTCGAAGGTTGATGTGGCACGATTTTTTGCAAGTCTAACTTCTGGGCTAGATTTCTCATTACCCGAGAAGTAAAAATGATCTACCACATCTGGTACGATAAAAGGTTCTTCGGGTATACGAGATCTGGATTGAAAAGATTTCTTGCTTAGATACTCAGGAGCCTGTATAGAGACAGGTAAATACTCATTTTCCGCACCTTCAACTATCCTCGAAGATAATAGGGTTGAAACTAGCTGAAGTGATGGGGTTAATGCCCATAATTTATGAAATTGTACACCATGATTAAGATTTTGAACTTCAGGTCTTGTCGTATCTTTTCCTGTGTTAAGTATGAGTTTGCAAGTAGTGATGCACCCGGCACGGATAGATCCACTCCCTCTCGTTGTACAAGGAATTATAATAGAGGTACGCGTACAAAGCGGAATTTGAAGATTGGGGCCCTCCCTGAATGAGTAGATACTGATAAGTGGGTGCTTTGCTGAGACTATTACAACAGAAACTGTGAATTGTTAGATCAGTTTGGGATCGCCCTAGAAGGAAAGTTACTGTGTGAGCCTTGGACGGGTACAAGGCGTATAGAGTCGTCACCCGGTCCTCTGAAATGGCGGCATGAGAGTAATATTTTACCTCCAGCAGATGCAATTTTATTTTTATTTTGTAATGTAATAGGGATAACTTGGATCCAAAATAGCTGGGAGGAGGTTAGAACAAAGAGATGTGAGTTATTCGACAAACACCTTTTAATATCAATGATCCAGTCCGGACTTCCAATTGGTATAATAGCAGGAGTTGGAAGCCTTTTAGTGTGGGATTCAACGTCGAAAATTGCAAGATGATATCTATTACATACGGCGATAATACTGAACTTACATACCCATAAAATTCGGTGCCAACCATCTGCATGTCCGAGATTTACGTCTTGGGAAAAATTTCTAGAACTTAAATTATCGTGTATAGTCCCAGATTTCACGCACATAACTTGTTCGTTATTTTTTTTCTGGCTGGACATCTCTAGATTATATATGGACCATAGCCCTAGTGTGTCTATGATAGCAAGTTGACGGGGGTACCATGGATTAAATGTAACATCAGAGTGGGAGCTGATGGAACCGTTCTTTGACGAGATAGTAGCTACTGGGTTGGCATGGAGTAAGGATTGGCCGATTGTTTCAGTATCATTTGGTGCTGGGTCATGATTCGAAAGGTTACCATAGATAGGTCGAAATATTGTAATCATTGTGCTTTGACGCATAGCAAGCCATGTATTAGACCGTGAATCGGAATTTGATGAAACAATTTGATGAATGGTGCCACTTAAGTTCTTCCAGTAACCTTGTTCAGAGAAAGAGTCACCGAGGAGGTGTAGTTGCGCACTACTTTCTTTTCCCCATTTTCGCGTCTCTTGTCGGGGCCGGACTAGTCGTAGTATGTGACCTGCTGCTCCACATGGCATAGCAAATATAACCGGTCTTCGTATTCCAGATATCCGAGTTACATCTGTTGCGTGGCCTATGGCCAAGATTCCCCCAAGCTCGTTGGAAGACAATACTTCTAATGGTTCAGTAGCCAGTATATTGGATAAGATTTTTTTAGCGGGAACTAATTCTGGGTGGTCTCTGAGTAGAGATCGGAGCTGGCTCCGCGAAAAATTCGATCGTTTGTCTGTATCCATAGGTTCATTTCTCATACAGGAAGGGACACATTCCTTGCTCGGTTGAATTTGATCAACAGAGAGTGCTGCTCAGATATTAACAAAGATTTTCAGCAGTTAGGTTTACTGACCTCTATCGTAGGACGATGAAAAGTGCCATCTCTTGTCCTCTGGATCATAGGCGACGATTCCCGCATGCCCATAGGATAGCTCCCTGAAATTTTGATCAGCCATTCATCCAATTATGCTGCCCAGTGTTGTCGAAATTCTCAAAGATCATTGTAGTGCGTAGGGCTGAGTTTCTTGTACACGGAGCCTTGCGGTGTGTGAATTCGTATGGTTCGGTTACTTTCTTGGGTGCAAAATTGGAATATACTCTAACTATTGGTTACTGTAGCAACCCACAATTTGAATGATCAGCCTTGTGAACATCCTAGTTATTGCGGGATCCTATCTATGACTACACTCTCTCTCCGTCCATGGCCGGAAGCCCAGAGATATTATGTTTACCCAGCGCCATGAGTTTATCAAAAAGTTCATTCAACGCTGCGCCAGTAGATAATTCTATTCCCACTGTCAATTTTGACTTTGATGACCTTCGCGATCGGATGGCCAGGTTCACCTTCAAGTTTGATGATTTTATCGAGAGGTATCGAAAGCGAATTTTAGATGAGAGAAATCAATTTCGAGTTAATATAGCTGAGCTTAAAGGTATTGTCGACGCATGGAAATCTGCAATGTTACAGGGGCTACTAATCATGAGCTGCAGAAGATCAACGAATCAAGAAGAGGGATGTGGAAATCCTCTCACAAAAGTCTAATACTCACCAACAAAATATGGCTAAGGAAGCAGCCGAGACCGAAGAGATGAAGTCCACGGTGGCCACTTTAACAGCACAAAGAGATGCTTACGCTGCCAATAAAGAAACGCTATTACAAAGAATTAGTGAAACTCAAAAACAAATCGATGGGAAGCTCACAGCTCAACGTGTCCAAGCCGAACATATTGAGTCGCAGTCTCGTTTAAATATTCCCGAACTTGAGATCTGGACTACTAACCTATGCATGGAGATAGAGAGTGCCGGCCAAAACGACCGACTGAAATTCATCTTCACTCACGTAGATGACCAAGATTGGGCTCGTGAGGCTAGTTTTGAACTTGATATTTCCAAACGGGATTATGAAGTTCCATGCTGTGTGCCAAATATCGGGGCTGAAAGAATCGAGAAGCTTGTTGACAGGCTTAACGAATGTCGTGACCTGCGAGTATTGCTGAAAGGGATGAGGGAACTCTTCGTGGAAGTGTTGAAGCATTAATGCGCAGAAAGCTTCTATGAAGCACACTTACCTCTGAAGAGAGCTCAGCAGAGGAGGTGATATACATCATGTTGAATAGCCTACAACAAGGATGATCCTGCCTCCAATGATCTAAAGTGTAATAACAACGACGATGGAATTCGACAGGGTACGTAACAAATACAGCTTTCCTCGTTCCAATTACTTTACAAAAAATTAAATTACTTGTCGTTCTCGGAAGTAACACGAGGTAGCAAGAATTAAAACCTTGATGTGTATACAGGAAGAATCATTGAAGGAGGACAAAGACTGAACGTCTGTCCGCGGTTATCTATACGAATCTTGGAGGAAAAAATTATTAGAGCCAACTTCAGTCAAATTTCGGAATACCGAATAAGTTGGCCCAAGATACAATGATGCAAGACATTCCACCAGTGCAATCTCTCCTGCTCGACGAAATAACCTCACGATTAAGCCTCATCAGAATACCAGAACTCACCACTATGTACACGAGCTTATAACTCTATGTCTCATTGAATCATTGCTCGGTATCAAATGGCCTCCAAAAAATGCCTACATCAATGCAATCACTCGCAGGAGGTCAAAAATTGTGGCGCATCAATCTGGCAAGCAGTTTGAGATGTAGGGAAAAAATTAGTACAATCATATCAGATGATACAGAGGAATGATATAGCCTCAACCGGTGTGAGATTTCGAATGAGAATGAAATTTTCAAGCTGAAGAGCATAGTTTGCGACAAGTCCTCGGTTGCGTAAGTGTAATTGATACTACAAAATTAAGCCAATGATAGAAGGTGATGTGGTCCTCCTTCTGGTGGTGATCTGTGGAATAGTTTAAGTAGCCTAGATACTTTCTCCGCTAAGAAAAGAGAAGCCTGATAACGCACTTCTCGCAGATACCAGCCTGTAAATGGATGTATGTGTAAATAACACAGTGGAATCAAGTATTTTCCCTGACTGAGAATTCACGGATTAGGGCCGTCTTGTTACGAATAAAATCTGCCAATACTTCGTAGAGCCATCTGAGGATGAAGCATAGACATCAGTGTTCCAATCTTAAATTTAGTCACTAATCCTGTACTGTTTCTCTGATATTTTGTCATAGCTACATTACAGCACACGCAATTAAGTTTTGTACTATAAGAAATGTTATCATTCAAACATAGAACTAATTCTCTAAGCAAATGTCGAAGGTCATGTGGTGACAAGCAGCTTAATAAAATAGAATAGAGTTAAAGTCCCAGCTGAGTCTATGGCTATAAAGCACTGCCAAAATGCTGATAAACGTTTACATTCTCTTACAGGTGCTTTAAATTCAATCTTCCCAATTTACTCTTAGGGTCTCGCCCTAATAACAGAAGCTGAATGGTGGAGGTGGCTCTAGTCGGGATTGATCTATTCAGCTAATACATAAATATTTTTAGTGACAGATGAACTCCCAAGTCATGTCTCACTTAGGCTTAGATGTGGTTTCTCGCTGTGCCCTAGAATCATCACGTCGGAGCTCTTTCACGACCGACTACCACTACAATCAAACTTCGAATCCCCAGAGACTATGGTGGGCTACTTACTGCCAAGGCTTCAGGGTTCACGCCATTTTCAATGAGAGAAATGCAGATAGATAAAGTTTGTCGGTCTAGTTGGGCATTCTACAGGCCGCCATTTTAGTGGACGCGCACATCTTTGATCGTATGAGCAATCAAGTAAACAACGTACCAGCAATGAAGAAATTTCATGAAAGACATCAATAACTTGGCGCGCTTGTGCTTTGCTTGTTTCGCGGTCGGGTCTTGGTTCGGATTCTGGAAGCATCGTATGAACTTGTGCGGTGATCAAAATTTCCGTGCGACCCAAGAATATACTGAACGACAGGCTAGTCGCGTTTTAACGCGTTTTAACTCTTTAAAACTTAGGGGATATATTTTCCTGCAGCAAGTATTTCACGTTCCAAATATTGCGTAGTTACCCAAATTTAAAGATCTTAAGTCTTGCATCGTGATAAAAACCGTAATAATTCTGATGGATAACCTTGGGATTTCACATAAAGATTCCAATTAAGCTTTGGAGCCCGCTCAAGACGCGTTCTTTTGGTCGTAAGCACATATCCTTTGAACTAACAGTATTACAAATCATAAATATGATTTGACAAATATATTTGCAGTGATATATTTCAACGTGGAGGCTGAGATATCTATCGGTTAGAAATCCCTTGCCCTAAATAATCCTATAGCGCCGTCGTTATTGAAGATTATCAAAGAATCTGAGCTTGATGCTACCGAAAATGTATATACTCTAACGCCCAAAACCATGCAAGACACCTACACCCAAATATAAATCCCTCATTACCGATGCCCGAATAGTAAAAAATCGTCATCATCTTCCTCTTCACCATCATCATCATAATCCTCCAGAGCCGAATCTTCTCCAGAATCTTCCTCATCGATCCCATCTTGATTATTTTCGCCTGAAATCAAAGCTGAAAGTTCATCGAGTCCCCAAAAGTCCAACTCATCTTCAATTGTAGAATCAATAGTTTGAGCAGTATTCGGGGAGCTTTCTTCCTCATAAAACCTCAGACCTGCGATAGGGGAAACCGATCTAGCTACCCGTTGTAGTCGTGGCAAGGGCGAAAATCTGTGCAGACGTCGATCATTCGTTTCTGCGACTTGTATAAATGTAGAATGTCGTCGCGGCCGAATAAGAGCAGGTATATGGAATGATGAAGAGACTTCCCTCGCCCCAAAGTCTTGTGGAACGTCGTTATTACTCTCGATATTTTCAGTTGCTGCCGATGGCCCACTTAGTATTGAAAGTTGGGCAGTATTATACGAATCACAGATAGCGCATTTTAAGCCAAGCCAGTGATAGATAACTACACTTTTTGCATAGCAATCGTTACAAGACACTAAGGCTTTGGTATCTCGAAATTGTGGCGGCATTGGTTGGCTTTCGACAGCGCGATCAAGGTTCCGAAATTGCGTTTCCATATTAACAGTACTCTTACTACATATCGGACATTTGTAAGAGGACTTTAAATACTCATCGTAGCAGGCTTTGTGAATACTATGACCACAAAGCATAAATACTACCGGTGAGGGCGAAGTAAACATATACTCTCCACAGATTGGGCAGTCACAATCAGACACACGCTCAATGCATTTATGAGAATGTTCAACCGAAGTTGACATGCATGTTCCACAGGTCTGCGAGTGTTAGTTCTGGTATTTGAAGTTGAGTAATTGACTAGGGCAGTAGATATCAACTCACTTTGCAATGAAAAAAGTCCTTGCCGATTCCGAGTCCTTTCCGACATATTCCACAGTCATGGCAATGATAAATACTTTTTCGTGTGTCGTTATCCCATAACTTGCAAACGTCGCAGTAGTACCATGCTGTTCTCCCTCCACATTCGGCACAGAACTCACCGGCTCTCTGGGCACAGCCACATATCATACATAGCATATTTTTTGTAGCTTTCCTATTAAGAATATGATCTTCGACCTCATCATGGCATAGGCGACAAGTATACCATTTTTGACAGGCCGAGCATTGTAGCTTTACGTTTCTCTGATAGTGCCGACATCCTAATACTTGGGCTTCATCTTTATTGCTACTTTCCCCACAGTCGTCATATTCTACAGGCTCCAAAGGTACATATGTTTGTGTTAAATCTTCAGGCGAGAGCTGATATATGTGGCTATTTTTTTCTGCTGTCGACTCCGGAGAGCCATTCATCTGCCAAAGGAAAAAGCTAAGAGATCCTGGTGTTGTAGGCCTCTCTTGACATATGGTATTTGGTGGAGTTGATTCCGTTTGTGGCTTAGCCTTAGCTTTCATGTAATCGCGATTCAGTAGATGGTGCATTCGACGAGCTTTCTGTTCGGGTGAGATATTCATTGCTTGGACTAGTAGTATTTTCTGACGGAGGGCTTTCATACCATCGTCTTCGGGCAAGGAATTGGTACGAGGATGTAGTGTAGATACAATTGACGGTGTTTCATCAATCGTTAGGCGATGGGATGCTATGTCGCTAGAATTATTCCATGCTGCTCTGGAATCATGAATATTATCATTAAAACTGGATTCGGCTGCGGTGTTGGTCATTGATAGTGATGGAGTTCGAGTTTGATTAGAAATGGGTATACGATCAGGCAGTTCAGAAGCAGATAATCGTAGCATATTTTGTAAAGAATCCACATTTCCAGAGGGCCATGATGGATCAGACAGTTCAAGATTCTCAGCATCTGAATCAATCTCAATTTGACTGCTGGCTAAATTCGAGGAAAATATTAGCGGTGCATTAGATGGGGCATCGTTGTTCGATTCCTCAGCCTCAAGACTGCTGGTATCCGAAAGTCTTGATCCCCTGTAATGCTCAGCTGTTGTATCGTCAATAGCAACTTCATGACTGCTAAGAGAGGCAGCCGTAAGGTTCGGAATAGAATCGCGCGGAGTGCTTGACCGAGAGAGTTGTCTGGCTTGTCGGAGGACAGGTTCTATGAGGAATTCATGCACGAGATAGCTCATTTGGTAGAGCTAGACATGTGTATTGGCCGAACAACTTTGTGATCGAAAAGAAGTTGAAGATGATTTTTCGACTGGAGAAATATTGCAGAATTTTGTCTAGAACTCCACAGACCCGAGGATTTAGATCACGATGACGATTGAGGGTGCCATTTGGAGGGTGGTAAGGTCCAGGACAATCTCACGTGTTAGAGTGAGGGCTCTACGGCCGGATCTCTCTGCACTCTGGGAAATTCATCCCTGTCTGACTGATCCCTGAAGATGAACGAAACAATAGGGGCAGGGGAGACGAGCTGGGGCCACGAATAGTGCAGAAGAGACTGAGTAGAAAGTGCGAAAATCAACCCGCTGAGGCCCGAACGCCTTGGAGCACAGGAATCCCATCTAAGACTGCTCATTATGTCAATGAATCTCATCAAAACTTACGGGCTAGTGTTTGGTTCTATTTTCTCAGCTCACATAAATATGTTTGGTTCCTTGTGGCCTTGAAAACCACTGATGTCTTGCCGATGATCTTCTCCACTCAACGGAAACCATACTATATTGCCCGCAAGCAGGGAATGTATAACATCTGTGGCGGACAAGTTCTCATTGTCGGCCTGCAATTACATCAATTGAAGCCTGCAAAGTAAAGCTCAGCCCTGCTTACTCACGCTCAGGTCTTGAATTGGCTCAATGCTGGATTCTGATAGCGCTCCAATTACACTAAAAATTTTCCATTATGTCCAGTCTCCCGGCATCCCCGGAAACCTGGCACATTACTCCTTAGGGCTGATTCTCGTGTGCTAATGCTTCTGCTCGGCCTGATACTTCCCACCCGAGAGTTGAATCTCATATCCCCTATTGAATCTGCACCGCCTCTTCTCCGCTCGCCACACTGGGCATGCATGTACGTTATGAAAAAAATACATTCTTAAGCCTTGAAGAAACGTCGTCAAATTTCTAGTGACAGATCAAGGCGCTAAGTCGAAATCATAGGGATCGAGCTATACTGGTTAGAAATGACGACATTCCCAGATGCCGTGAGTTCAGTATCCCAGGTATCTTGGCATACGGAAAGCCTGTGCCAGGCCTGCTTCCTCTATGTAAAGACGCCACGGTTCGTTACTCGCTTCTTCAGACCTAGTAACGCATAGACCTAACAAGCTGTTGGTTGTTTATGTATCACGTGAATGGTCAGAATGACTTCAGGGTAGTTCGGATGTTCGCGATTGGATACAAGTACGATTCATCATAGCTCACGGGTCAGTTGCCCAAAGCTTTGGCGATTTCTGAACCAGTTAGTTAGACTAACTGTTATTTTTAATTTAACCCACAAGGAGATTCTTTCAGAACGCTAAATTGTGGCTTCAGCACACCGTGTGCCGACTAAGCTAAGTGCGACCACGGTCAAAAGTAGTCTGCGCTACGCTTTAATGGTAACAAAACGCCTGCTGCCGCTTCACTACCAATCTTCTTACCACCCTATCTACTTAAATTTGATGACCTAACGCCTGGTAACCTACAAGTCATGCCAACAAAAGCGCTAGTCTTCAAGGGCAATGACTTGTTTTTTGACAAACTCAAAGGCAGAAAAAAATACCGAATTAACGAGACAAGAGCGACCCATAGAAACTCCTAATCCTCGATACATTCGCTTGTTATTAAATTCGATCTTTGGTGCCTTGGGAATCGGTTGACCACGGCTCAACCGAAGGCTATTTGTTTGGTAAATACTCTTTGCTGAATCTATGGGATATATTAGAGCCCAAGACGCAATGCCGCACACCCCCCCTGCAATAGCTACGGCTATCGGATTCACCGACGATCGATCTTTGCTGATGGTAGTTAAAACCTGTTTGGCGCTCTCATAAGTCATGAAGTACGTCGCAGTCCCCAATGTGTCTCGAACTTCCAAAAATTAGTAATGCTGTTACTTGGATAACCCATCCCCTACCTAAATGGAGATTAAACCCGGTATACAACCCTCCTATACCGCGGTATTTTATGATATTCTTGGCTGTCTGGAACGTCCCTTTATTCTGATAGGTTGCTGCGATGTTACGGGCATCTTTTGAGTCCGATACTATGTTTTTATGTGCCGCTATGTGCGAAACCTGGGCGCTAAGTTTCGTTAATTCAAATGGGCCTACGAATATTTATTAGTCTATGTGACAATAACGGAGATGATCAATTACATGAAACCATCGTAATAAAAGACCCTGCTGACGCCCCTGCGACTCCAAAACACACAACTGTAGAAAAATTTGGGTAATTCCCTGGAGTGTTGATGTGTAATAGAGGATCTGTCCCAAAGTTTCGCTTGATCCAAGCCGCGAAACTGTACTTGGATCGTTGGTATATCGAAAACGACACTGTTCGAACCAGCGTGACGCTTAACAATGGAGCTACTACTCCCCTGCTGAAGCCTTGATATCCTTCAGTCTTGTAGGTATGCCGTACACACTCGGCGAAGCTCGAATAGTTGTAAGCTTGCATCCTTGTTTTAACTGTGTCCAGTGGAAACTATACGATCCACTGTTAACATGTATCTCAAGGAGAGATACCCGATTGGAAACTTACGGCTACAAAAGTTGATAGAATACTGCCCGTGGAAGCGGCAATTTCAGTGCGATATCTCTTAATCCATCTTCTCTCATAGCTTGGGTGTCTTGGACCTGTAACTTTCTCCGCGCTCTCCTTCATCTCTTCACTATCCAAAGGTACAGATATCAAAGGCATAATGAATAGATAGTAAGATCGTGCTATTAGACTGAGAGTTGCGACCAAGACCACCAAAGCCCTCAACGTGGTGGTCGTGACGGGAGCCAGTGTTTGGCCATTAAGGCGCCTTTCGTAGAGTTTCCGGCGCAAATTTTCGATCTCTCAGGTCGCGATGTACAAAAGGAGAAGTTACCAAGAGGTAAGTTAGTTCAAAAGCTGCGGGGTTGGAATGAAACGATCTAATTTGGGGACTTAGCACTTGGACCACCCCTACTTTGTTTTGTAAAATTGAAGCACTAATATTAGTCAGTAATTCTTAACATAGCCTAGGTACTTGTTGTTAGAACTCAAATCCGACCACATCATCATATTAATTATCAACGCATCCTAACAGGCCAAAGATTTGAGCAATATACTATGGAGCCTCAATGATATATCTTCATTATTTAGTGCAAATTAAATACCCGACCGGACTGCCTCTGATAGATTGGAATGTGAAATATTCTCTGGGAGTCAACTTCCAGTTTAATTTTACAACACAGGCGACAGTAATTCAAGGCTTATGATCACCTTATTTATGCACTTCTAATACACCAGATCATAACCAGTGTTATTTTATCCTAAAGTATGACCTGTTACAATCTGTTATAAGTAATCATATTCTTTATGGACTACGTTTTTCACCTTACTTGGTCTTAATGTACAAACTTGAAAATCTGTAAAAGCCCAAGGATGGATTCACATCGCAATATTTAAATCTGGGGAGGTAGATCATCAGAAGGAAGTGAGACATGGGTGTTGAGATGGACAAGATTAAGTTGAGGGTGGATGTAGGCTGGGATGGGGTGTAAACTTGGCCATGAAGAGGTGCTTTAAACTTTAGAACGATGTGCGCTAATAGTCTGTCCGAGAGAGCTAAGGCCACACCACAAAAACGGTCAAAAACCATGTCGTAATTCATCATCTAGATTCGGATCGTCCTTGTGGATTTTTTTGCAGCCTACATACCTCATTAACACTAGACAGGAACTAAAGAGACCTCATTCATGGCAGGAATTCATGGTCTTGCTACATAGGCACGATTGCGCAGCTCGAGGCGTTAAGAATCTTGCTCTTGAGCGGGTGTGTATAATTGAGAGATGGGAAATAGTCCCAGTTTTCCACTTCGAGTGGTATCAGCGAACAGACCCTGATCAAGCATACACCATGTCAAAATTGTGTCAAGCTCTCTGACGAAATTTTTAGTGAAGGGCTAATCCTCAATATCCTTCGCTCCAGAACATGTAATAATATTATTGTCCTTTCTCAGTCTACGACTCTACAGGATATGCTCCTTCTCTTCATAAAGTAATTATTACTGTTGTGCTTCCTGAGTCTTGGAATATGAAGGACTTGCGGTTCCTTTCTATCTATAGGCTAAAAATACTTTACGAGTAGTATGACTTCCTTTGCCTTCCTCACAGCTCCTCCAATTAGTAACACTACTCACAAGTCCTGATTTGGTTAGGCACTCAGGGAAGTCCTTTGCCCTTCTTATCTCCCTCTTCAGCCAAAGAAACGAAGGCCGTTTGCGGGTGTAAATTAGCCGGGAAAAATCGCAAAAACTGCTGGATGCGGGACTCTTCTATTACCCACATCAGGACTAAATCCGAAGATATTGTGACCCTTCTGAAGCGTTCGAGGATACCGGACAGCTGGGCGCTGCAAACTTGTGTGTACTTCGGGAAATAAACACACTGCCTTTCTAGCTTCCTTCCAGCTCTTTCCATAGGGTCGTGATGATATCCTAGATAAGTTTTGACGGAGAGCGTTTACTGTGTAGTATTTTAGGCCAATTTTTTTGGGCCGTCCGAGGTACTAGGGAGTACTGAAGACTCATCGACAATAGAAGTTCTCTTGGATAATTAGCTGAAACCACGGTCATGGCCGCCACAAGCGTTCCAAAGATAAAAACCCCTCGAAAATAGCAGTCCCAAAATGGTCTTCAGAGAAATATCCCCCCTCGCTCCACATCTCAGCCAGCTGTAATACCTCAAGTTGTTTGGCCAATTGGAGCGCTAGTCTCTCGTAAGCTAAGGCTTGAGCTTTGTGTGTTATAACTATGTCCTCCCTGCCAGAATGTATAGCGTCGTAAATATGTAGTTGAAAATGGGTAGGTATTAAAAGGGCAAGCTCCGGTTTAAATTTTGAGCAACTCCTTGATCGGTTGTTGAGACGAGATGGTGTGTGGCTAGATTGAAGTTGAGGACTCAAATGAGAATGGTAAGACCAAAATTAATGAGAAGCCGTCAAGTACAAATATGCTTGTGTGTGCTTTCGACTTCGCTCCACATTATTGATGGACATCTGAATAAACTAGATATCTTTATCAGTTAAAATTTTAGAGATGATATCACAAGAGAGTTTTAATTCACTAATCCACTTACTTAATCTTATTGACGGATGTCCTAAATGTCACCACAGGTTCATCTGTTACCGGTGAACACAAAATTTATCAATCTATTTAGTTTATAGATTAGTTGAATCAAAATTTTATATAAAAATTTGTCGCTTTCCATACCCCTCCACTATATTGAGATAGCTATTTAATTTTTCAATCTAGAATTGACATATGCAAGAGCATGTAGTTTCTCAAATTCCGTGAGTTTGGGCCTTGATTGTGTATAAAATTTAGAGGCTACTAAGGTCTTGATGTCACCTTTTCCCGAAGATAAAAGGGTGAGTGGTTGGCGAGGATATGGTTACCAGGAGTAGCCCATATGTTTCTAAATCTGTTCCTTCAAAAAAATCGTGCTTTCATAATGATATATTTTCCTCAGTTTAATGATTGAGTAGCAACTTCAACTTGCTCTGAAATATAGTGACGTAAGTGCAGTTTGTGGAAAAGTGTCTCATCTAACAAGTTTTCAACCATCTTATTAATGAAAAATAGGGTGAGCCTCCAAGGTGCTAGGTGCTAGGAGCTAGGAGAAATATAATTGTATTTGTAGTTTATGTACCTCTTAAGAGATCAGAGTATGTGATAATAAGCTGTAAATTATTCATAGTCCAATGATCTTTCAGCGAAGACAAATATTCAAGGTTTTGTTTAGCATGTCTAGTGTCCGGTCATAATGAATAGTAGAATTGAGAAATTGTTGTTTCTTGGTGCCATCTTTGATTTTACTAATCCTTAATTCCTGTTAGCATGATTAAGAACCTTCTACAGATATACTAACGGTTTGTGCTGCGCATTTTTCTTGGCCCAAAATTTAGTGTGTAAAACATTTTTGACAAGAAAATGCTCGATACCCCTGTAGCTTGCAGCTAAGTCAAGAAATTTGATAGTTCTTTCGATTTTAAGAGCATCGAAATTCGAGCTCTTTTCGTAGCGAAATGCATTTCTTAATTCATCCCGGGCAAGGTACCGAGCTGGTTTTGAATACTTGACAGCCCGAAGTACTGCCCTATAGAGGTGACGATAAGCATGTGTAAGAACCAAATTTTTTATTTCCTTCATAATTTGAGTTTCCTCGAGGTTGGTGATATTTGATTGGGTTGAGAAATATTCAGTGATAAAAGTGAGTTGATTTAGATCGGAAGCAGCTTGAAATATAAATGTTTTCTCCAAAATTGATAGATATTGCAAGCCGATGCCTTCCTGCGTCTGTCTCTTTTAATTGCTTGATGTGGTGGACTGATTTCTAATAAGTAGCTCGAATTCATGGCTAGCTAGCGTATTGGTCTCCTCTCCGACTATAGCCTGGCCTTGAGCATTGCTCAAATCCTCGTCTGCCACGAAACTATATCACCAATACAGAGCTCATTATGGATAGCCATTTAACTGAATAATTAGTCATTTAATTCAGATCCCTTCTCTACGGAAACTTTTACACAAAAATTTAAAAGGTATTAATGGAAACTCCGTGTGTGGGAAAAATTCTCAAAAAAACTTGTGGCTCTAGCCAGGCGAGATCTAGACAGCGAAGCCATACTGCGGCTTCTGGTTGGCCAGTTTAAGATCAAAGTAAGTTCACGCAGGTGTCTCGTGGCTCCGACTAAACAACAATATAATGTGAGTAGAGCTTCAGACTAAAAAATACGTGAATTGATCGGGGTACATTCTCGACACCTGTCAGTGGTGTCCCCTACGAACCTCCAGCTCTCACTGTAGAGTCTACAGAGCCGAGATTGAGTCACACCTTTTCAACTTTGAACTAAGTTATCACCCTCTCCGCAAAGATACGCTTCCGATAACACATAAGACGACCAAGACGATGATAATGATGCTGGTGATGAGGAAAGATGTTGCGGTACCAAACACTACAACGGTAGTCAGAGAAGCCCTCGTTATATCACAACATGTGCCTCCCACCGGCGAGCGAACAAAAAACCACGAAAGCAAAGTAAAAGATCTTTCCGCCCACAAGAAAAGCAGATTTTGACTCTTCAGATGTATCGTCCCTTCTAACCGTCAATTCCGAATATACTAGCCATGAGAGCATCTGAAATACATCAGTTATACTACGACCCCTCACCTATAGCAACTTTTGGATGCTAGGCTAGGCTCCTTCACGGCAGTCACTCTCGATCAAGACTTTTGTGAAATCCTCTCGCGACCTTTGGTTTTTCCTGCGGCATGAATTAGGGAGGAGTAAGGAGGAGGCTAGGAAGGTTGAGAGACGCTCTTAGGTATACACAGGTCTGCTGCGCCCAGTTGGCCGGCCTCTTCGTCATAGGAGTGCCCCGCACCCAGTGGCGAGAGTAGATAGGGGGTAAGATAAGGTGTTTAGAGAATATGTGTAGTAGTGTAGTAAAAATATGCGAAAATATGTGTGTGTTGAAAACAAAGGGTGAGGGAGTTTAAAAGAATCACCCAGCTGACTAAGCAGGATTTTCTAACACGTCCCCATTCCGCAATGCCATAGAGTCCTGTTATCTCCCACAACACTTGAATATGTGACTCTTACATCTCTGCCCGAATGGTTCAGTAGTCCTGCAGAAAATGGAACTGCATCGTGGTACAAGCGTACTCTTTT